GTAAAAACGGGGCTAGAGATTTATACCAAGCCCTACAGAAGAATAAAGGAAGAAACCCCTCATTTCTGAAATCGTTACTGCTTCCTGAAGAAAGATCAACAATCATTTAATTAAACAAAAAATATTTAACAGATTTCTTCTCTTTTTAAAACTGTTCTGCTATTTAATTTTTTAATATTCCCCTGGGGATAGTTTGTTGCCATTTCCCTGGGCCATGGTAACTCTTTTGATTCTTAAATAAAGCAAGCCCAAGTGCCCAGTCCAGGACCTGGCACAAGGGAGATACAATAAATGGTAATTTCCTTTTGGTTGAAGTAGGACAGTGTGTTGTCGGTTTAATCTGCTCATACCATTAATTACACTCTGAAATCTATGTCTCTCCTGCCTCCTCAAGAAGGAAATGAATAATGGCCAAATAACTGTTCAGCCTCAGGAAAAACAAATTTAAAAAAATCACTACTATTGCAAGGTAGGATGATAAATACTAAAAACGAATTGAGATGCTCACTCAGCATGACAAAGCACTTCTCCATTTCCTATCTTCATATAAGGTCTAAAGGAATGTGGAGGGTGGACAGAGCTGGGGACATATTTATTAAATGCTCCTATTTTAACATCAGGTGCTCTGTTGTCACGTGGGGGCATAGAGATGACAAGAAAATCAGCTAGCAAGGAAAGGCTGATATGTAAACAAGTAAAATAGCTTAATTTTTTTTTTTTTTTTTTTTTTTTTTTTTTGGCTATACAGGCTATTGTTTGGAATCAAAGGCAAGAATGGCCATTACTGGGGATGAGCAAAACTCAGAACAACTTTAGAGGAATTTTGGGCATGAGCCAAGGCCAAGAATGGTTTCATGTAAGCTTCAGCTGCATCTTTAAAGACTTTGGGCCAACTAGGAGGGAACAGTTTCTGAGATAGCATAGGGACCTGGGCCAGGATCCCAAGGATACCAGGTAAGAAAAATCACAGAGCTGACACTACTCCTCTCCCTGGCAAGGGATCCCAAGGAGTCAAAAGGTCAGAAAAAACACATCTGATAAGCCTACCACAAAAATGAAATCACTTCTCTTCTGCCTAGGAAAAAAGTCTTATCTTCCTTCTAAGAACTTGTTTCTTATACACTGACAAGCAAAATTCCACAAGCTGGGTCTCACCCCTCACCCCCCAAAAGCTGACCATTTCACACGTCTGCTCTGCCTCCAGCTTATAAAAACACCTAAACAGAGCCAGAGGACCTTCCTCTCCTCTATGCTGTCCGGAAATTTCTCTGGGGGTTCCCCTTGATTTTTATCTTGGGGAACCCAAGAATCCCAACAGTGGTAATATTTCTTCATACTTGCTTGAACAAAAACTTGAAGGCTTGAAAGAGCCACACACTGTTCTGGGTGTTACAATCAAGACGCAAAAGTTATAGTAATAATGTGTAGTAAGAACTGAGTACTGTGCTCAATAAACTATTATACATAAGTGATCTTCATAAAAAATTAACAGCATTCCCATTTTACAAGTAAGAAAAGTGAAGCTAAAGGATTAAGACTCTTGCCTAAAGGCCACACATAATAAAATGGCAGTGAGACGCTTTACTTCAGGAAATTGCTCCAGTTTTTTTTTTTTTTTAAACCACAAATCAGAGGAGTGACACGATCAGATTTCAAAAATATTCCCTGCAGATTTAGTGGGAGGTATGGATGGAGACGGGGAGCAGCAACCTTGTCATTAGAACAAGGAAGGGGGCTGTCTAGGCACTGAGGGGGTATTGAGGATCAACACTAAGGCAGAGGATGTGGGACCCAAGGGGAAGGAATATTTGGATAGCTCGCAGGGCTTGTTGTGGTTAAATGTGGTCCAGCAGCGAGACCCTCTATCTAGGTTTGGGTTTTGAGCGCAAGGCACGCTCCCCATTACCTCCCGTCCCCACTCCCCACCCCTGTTCCCGAAGAAATCCCGGATAACGGCGGCGTTTGGAGCCGATCCTGAGGGCGTGCCTCCCTCTGCGACCCCAGCCACCAGCGGCAGGTACGGGGGTTTGGTTGGTACTTCCGGCACCGGAGCCCGCCCCCAGGGCGGGAAAGCGCTGAGTCATTCCGGCTGGGAGCGTTGGATCGGGCTGGCTTCCGGCCAGGTCCCCCTCCCGCACCGCGGACCCGCTCTCACTCTCGCGAGAACCACGTCGGCTATAAAGGCAGCGCGGCGAGCACGCGCGCGTTTCGGGAGGCTTCTTCCTGTCTGACCTGGTTTGCCATTTCTGCCTCCGGGCCGGTGAGTGTGTGGGCCTCGCGGCCTCCGCAGGGGGAGCGCCTTGCATCCCGCTCGTCGCCTTTTCTTCCTCCTCCTCTCGGTACCCCCGTCCCCCAATCCCGGGCTCACCTGGGGGTCCTGAGACTGGAGGCTACCGGGAGCGGCCTGCCGCCCGGGAGCGGCCAGGCAGTTCGCGTTCCTTTGCGGGGGACACGCCTCTGGGTCCTGGGCGTTGGGTGAACCCCGAGGCTAGCGCAGGCTCGCGCCTCCTCCCATCCACCGGTGCAGAGGGCACTGATTGACTCGCAGGTGCGGGCTTGTGGTGGTGTCCCCGCCATTAGGGCGGCTCGAGAACCTTCTGGAATGGACTCGGGAACTGACCCGAGGCCACCCCTCTCTCGTGTTCAAAAAAGCTGCCCCCCTGTCCCAGGCCGTTACTTCGGGTGTTACGGTTCCCTTCCCGCCTTTATTTTTCCACCTGCAGAATGGGGAGTGTGGGGATCCCAGATTCAGGCGATCGCTCGGTGAAGACGCCTCTTTGCTGCTGCTGCTGCTGCTTTCCGAAGTGCTGGCGGGGAGTGATGATGGGGGAGGCGGGAGAGTGCTTTATTAAATATATTTTATTGATTTTTTTTACAGAGAGATAAGGAGAGGGATAGAGAGCTAGAAACATCGATGAGAGAGAATCATCAATCAGCTGCCTCTTGCACACCTCCTACTGGGGATGTGCCCGCAACCAGTGTACATGCCTTTGACCGGAATCGAACCAAGGATCTTTCATTCCGCAGGCCGACGCTCTATCCACCGAGCCAAACCGGTTTCTGCGGGAGGGTGCTTTAAGTGGGGTTTGAGGGTGTGGTTTTTCCCTGGAAAGTTCTTGGGCAAAGTTCTGACGAGTCCCACTCGGGCTGAAGGTCCAAACGGGCTTTTCCCGACTGGTTGGGCTTTAGTGGGGGCCGCCTGCAAAAGCAGGTTCGGACGAGGCCACTTATGTGAGGGTCACACTATATTTGGTCGCCAAGTTGCAACGTCCCTTAGTGTGTGTGTTTTATTGTTGTTATTAAAGGTATTAAACAGGCCGGGACCGGTTTGGCTCAATGGATAGAGCGTCGGCTTGGGGACTGAAAGGTCCCGGGTTCGATTCCGGTCAAGGGCATGTACCCTGGTTGCGGGCATATCCCCAGTAGGGGGTGTGCAAGAGGCAGCTGATCGATGACTCTCTCTCATCGATGTTTCTGACTCTCTATCTCTCTCCCTTCTTCTCTGTACAAAATCAATAAAATATCTTTAAAAAAAAAATAAAGGTATTAAACAGTAAAAAGCTCACAACATTTGCTTTCGGTTGTGGTAGTATGACCCAAAACCGTTGGTACTAGAAAATTAGCTACTTAAGGCTTTCAAATCGTTGGCTCACCTGCTTTTAATTCTTAACCCCTTGGAGTTGACCTGGGTGAATCCAGTGCAACATTCCTCTTTAGCAATAAATTGGCTCTGGTACTTAATTGCGCCAGGATCCTGACCCTGAGGTCAGAACGCCCCCCCCCCCCCCAACCCATTTTTGAAAGGACTTCTAGGGCTTAAACACAGATACCTAAAGTTATGAAATTGAGCAAATGCCAGAATTCTGGGTCTTGCTTCGGAAAAGGTTGGATTGGCTTTAGGGTATGTGTTCTTGGCAAATCTACCAAGTGTGCTTGAATATGAAGTGTGCTTTCCACATCATGAATCCAGTTGGAGACGGAGCCCAGGGAAAGGGCAATATTACTGGCTTTTGGGAGTCAGGCACTCTGGCCTTAAACATTTGGGTTCAGGTTTGAGAGTCTCCAACCCCCCACTCCTCTCTGCTTCTGCATGATGAAATGATTATATAAAGGAAAATGTCATTGCACAAATGATGGTTCAGAAAAAGTAATGGAGGTTACTTCAATTATTAAAGAAATTGCTGTTTTTAAAGGAAAACAAAAGATATTCAAAGATGTATAATAACTGGTTTTCTTTCAAAAATGTTTCTTACTAATCTAAAAGTTAATGTAGGTGACAGGAAGATTTAACTTTGAGTGGTGGGTACACGGTATAATATATAAAGATCTTGTAACAGACCCACACCTGAAACCTATGTGATTATGTGCACCAGTGTCACCTAGTGAAATTAAAGAAAAGTTTATGTAGCCCTAGCTGGTTTGGCTCAGTGGATAGAGCATCAGTCCCGGGTTCGATCCCGGCAAAGGGCACATGCCTGGGTTGCAGGCTCAATTCCCAGTAGGGGATGTGTAGGAGGAGCCGATCGATGATTCTCATAATTGATGTTTCTATCTCTCCCTCTCCCTTCCTCTCTGAAATCAGTAAATAAATAAATAAATAAATAATTTTTTTTTCCCTAAAAAAAAAATATTTTTATTTATTTTTTTTTACAGAGAGGAAGGGAGAGAGAGAGCCAGAAACGTTGATGAGAAACATCGACCAGCCGCCTCCTGCACACCCCCCACCGGGGATGTGCCTGCAACCAACATACATGCCCTTAACCGGAATCGAACCTGGGACCTTTCAGTCCGCAGACCGACGCTCTATCACTGAGCCAAACCGGTTTTGGCAATAAATATATTTAATTAAAAAAAAAAGTTAATTATATATTCAGAGCCACCAGATAAATCCTTTATTGTTCTACAGTTAAGTCTAAGTTGATGGAGGTTACTGGTTATCTAGAAAAAGAAGACTTGTTTTAAGTTAATTTCTTCTTTTATCCTTTCCAGCTGATAGCAAGATGTCTTCAGGAAATGCCAAAATCGGGCACCCTGCCCCCAACTTCAAAGCCACAGCTGTTTTGCCAGATGGACAGTTCAAAGATATCAGCCTAGCTGACTACAAAGGTAAGTGTAATTACGTTAGGTCCATTGAAATGCAGTTATTTTGCTATTGGAGATGGCTTGTTCAATTTTCGTATTTCTGTGCGTTTGATTATAAAATGATTTATGTCTCCTAGGTCCAGGTGTTCAGGGTGGAAGGCTGTTGCCTTCAGGTTGAAGTGAAATCGTGATTATCAATAGTTATCACAGAGTGGTTAGCCTAGTCCAGACTATTTTGGAGAAAGCACATGGTTCATTATGCCTAAACTAATATATTAGCTCAGTTATCTTCTCACTACTCCTCAATTGTATTATTGGAGACAGTCTGATTATCTCAGTCTTACTATTTCATTATAAGAAGTCTTCAGCAATTTAAAATCTCAAAGCTCATATTTGGAGCTAAGACACTGCTTGTTCAGTTTATGAAATTGTGTCATAGCTACTGTATTATTTAGAGGGTTTAGGCACATTCACTTGACTGTTTTGCGCCCAGAGGAGAGTTGATGTCATTGTTGGAACAGCTCTCTTTTCTGTTAGAGATTCATGCAGACACTTGTCAAGTTCTAATAAGGTCTCTTTTACCTCACAGTTGGGAGCAGCTAGGTCTTCTGGGACAATTGAATGCAAATCTCAAACTCCTGTGTCAAGTATAGGGATGTGGGTAGTGATCAGTTTCTGGAGTCAGCTTTTGGTTGAACATGTGACTAGATTTCCTCATACTTGTTGGTTGAATGAGAGCAGGTTAGTGGGATCCTATGGAGGGAAGCTTCTGGCAAAACATGGTAAGTATGACCATAGGGAGGTGACTCTGGCTCAAGGGTAAAGGCAGTATGTTCAGGAAGAGCTGCTTTCTGCCCACCAGGGCTTGACCTGCTGAGGCCTCAAAGTACTTGGTAGGCAAAGCCCTGGAGAGAGGTTGTTTAGAGGAGTTTCTAGTGATTCTAATTTTCTTTTTCTTTCTTTTTTTTAAATATATTTTTATTGATTTTTTTTACAGAGAGGAAGAGAGAGGAATAGAGAGTTAGAAACATTGCCAAAACTGGTTTGGCTCAGTGGTAGAGTGTCGGTCTGCGGACTGAAAGATCCCGGTTCAATTCTGGTCAGGGGCATGTACGTTGGTTGCGAGCACATCCCCGGTAGGGAGTGTGCAAGAGGCAACTGGTCAATGTTTCTCTTTCATTGATGTTTTCCAGCTCTCTATCTCTCTCCCTTCCTCTCTGCAAAAAATCAATAAAATATATTAAAAAAAAAAAAAAAAAAAAAGAAACATCGATGAGAGAGAATCATCGATCAGCTGCCTCTTGCACACCCCCTACTGGGGATGTGCATGCAACCAAGGTACATGCCTGTGACCGGAATCGAACCCGGAACCTTTCAGTCCGCAGGCCGATGCTCTATCCACTGAGCCAACTGGTTTCGGCATAGTGATTCTAATTTTCAAAGTCAACGTCAAAGGAGCCACTTGTTTTGACTCAAACATGGTTGCTGCCTGTTTCTATTCTAATTGAGCTGTTCTAATGGTTCATTGCATTAGGTGTGAGAGGCTACCTGACCTTTGAAGATCTATTTAGTTGGTAATCTGAGTGACTTCAGTAAAAATCTAACTGGAAGTCCTGTTTACTACCAGGATTTTTGGAATGTTTGACACATAAGAATTTTTTTGTCAGGCTGGTTAGGAATATATTTGTGATGATTCAGGTGATCACTTAAACCTTACCCATTCCATTACTGTGATTCATTGTGAAAGAAGTGCAAAGGCTCTGACTTTCTCTTGTTGGTTTCTTACTATTCTGCAACAGAGAATTCAGCATTTGTCTTTTATTGGGCACTGATTATAAGCATTGGCATTGGGCTATCCAGTAGATAACTGCATTCTTGCTTTTGCTTTTCTTCATTGGAGAACTTGGTGTCCATTCTAATTTTAACTACCCAGAGAAGATAAAAATTAGACTGAACAGCCTGGCCAGTATGGCTCAATGGTTGAGTGTCCACCTAAGGAAAGGTTCATACCCAGGTTGTGGACTTGATCCCCAGGAGGGGGCATGCAGGAGGGGACCAATCAATGATTCTCTCTCTCTCCCCCTCTCCTTCCTCTCTGAAATCAGTAAAAATATATTTTTTAAAAATTTAGTTCTGCCCTAACCTATTTGGCTCAGTGAATAGAGCCTCGGCCTGCAGACTCAAGGGTCCAGGTTTGATTCTGATCAAGGGCATGTACCTTGGTTGCGGGCCACATCCCCAGTAGGGGGTGTGCAGGAGGCAGCTGGTGGATGTTTCTCTCTCATCCATGTTTCTAACTCTCCCTCTCCATTCCTCTGTAAAAAAATCAATAAAATATATTAAAAAAAATTTAGTTCTGTATTTGGTAGCTAATATGGAGACAGAAAAATAAAGTATGGACTAGAACATTTTTATTTTTTAAACACACTTAAAATGTTTTTGTTGATTTCAAAGAGGAAAGGAGGAGGAGAGAGAAATAGAAACATCAGTGATAAAAGAGAATCATTGCCAAAACTGGTTTGGCTCAGTGGATAGAGCGTTGGCCTGCGGACCGAAGGGTCCCGGGTTTGATTCAGGTTAAGGGCATGTACCTTGGTTGGGGGCACAATCCCAGTGGAGGATGTGCAGGAGGCAGCTGATCGATGTTTCTAGCTCTCTATCCCTGACTCTTCCTCTGTAAAAAAATCAATAAAATGTATATATATATATATATATTAAAAAAAAAAAAAAAAAGAATCATTGATTGGCTGTCTCCTGCACAACCCCTACTGGGGATCGAACCCACAACCAGGGCGTGTTTCCTTGACCAGAATCAAACCCAGGACCTCTCAGTCCCCAGGCCGACGCTCTATCCACTGAGCCAAATCAGTTAGGGCAGAGACGTCTATGTTGGAGCATCTTGACATCTAGCAATTGTGAGGCATCAACTTAAAAAGGACTTTTTTCCCCCCATAGGAATATATATTTTGTTGTCTAGTCTCTGTAAAGCAAGGATGTCTGTTTCAAAGGCTAACTTGGGGTTCTTTCTTCCCCCCAGGAAAATATGTGGTGTTCTTCTTTTACCCTCTTGACTTTACCTTTGTGTGCCCCACGGAGATCATTGCTTTCAGTGATAGGGCAGAAGAATTTAAGAAACTCAACTGCCAAGTGATTGGTGCTTCTGTGGATTCTCACTTCTGTCACCTGGCATGGTAAGTCCGTTGGTCTATTTGGCATGGACTTTTTAACTAAGCAGGAACTGGGATTTGGAGGTTTTGGCAATAGACTTTCTCAAGTATTGGCTTCTATCTCCTCATGGAAGGAGTGCAAAGCTCTGGCTTCCTCTTGTTGCTTTCTTATTACTTGGCAGCAGAGAAGAAGCAGCTTGGGTTGCAGCTGAGTATACCCTGGTGACCTTAACTGTCCTTAGCCATTCATTTTACTGCTGGGAAAGTTTGAAGTTTTTGGGAAGTAGGCTAGAAATGTTGGAAAGGGGAGCATGTAGATACAGTTAATGTATTTGCTACACAGTAGTTTGTGTGGATGTAATTTATATTTGTGCCTTTTGCTGTAGGATCAACACACCCAGGAAACAAGGAGGACTGGGACCCATGAACATTCCTTTGGTGTCAGATCCCAAGCGCACCATTGCTCAGGACTATGGGGTCTTAAAGGCTGATGAAGGCATCTCATTCAGGTATGAGATGGGTTAGGGAGTGGGGGCTGACATTTATTATGATAGATAAGATTGACTGAGGGCCTTTTATTTGGAGAAGGGTAGAGCCCTGATCTGTATAGACTCTCATTTCATTTTTTAATCAGTCTTATTAAGAAATAATTGATATATCATCCTAGCTGGTTTGGCTCAGTGGATAGAATGTTGGTCTGCCAACTGAAGGGTCCCGGGTTTGATTGCGGTCAAGGGGACCTATCTTGGTTGCAGTCTCAATCTCTGGCTCCGGTCGGGCATGTATATTAGGCAACCAATCCATGTCACATTGATGTTTCTCGCTGTCTTTTACTCTCCCTTCCACACTCTAAAATCAGTGGAAAGATATTCTCGGGTGAGGATTAACAAAAAAATAAAATGAAACGATACACATCACTGTATTAAGTTTAAGATAGACAGCATGATTGTCTCATTAAAAAAAAAAAAAAAGTATTTTTATTGATTTCAGAGAGAAAGGAAGAGGGGAGAGAGAGATTGAAACATCAATGATCCCACGGGGAATCAACCCCAAACCCGGGCATGTGCCCTGATTGGGAATTGAACAGTGACCTCCTAGTTCATATTTTGACACTCAACCACTGAGCCACGCTGCTGGGGGTTGGTCTCATTCTTTATGCAGGGGCATCCTCAAAAGGGGCAAGGGCTGTGCACGTCTGGGAGACCAGCCCATTTCCATTGCTTCTCTATTCTAATAAACCAGCTTTTAATTTTTAGAAATTTATTGATTAATTTTAGAGAGAAAGAGAGAAAGAGAGAGAAACATCAGTTTATTGTTCCACTTTTTTATGCATTTATTGGTTGCTTCTTGTATGTGCCCTGACCAGGAATTGAACCCGTAACTTTGGCGTATTAGGACAACACTCTAACCAACTGAGCTACCCAGCCAGGGCTGCCTAACAATCCAGTTTTTAAACCTGTACTGCCTCTTTCTCAAACCTTCAATCTCTTCTTCCCAGGGGCCTCTTTATCATTGATGATAAAGGTATCCTTCGCCAGATCACTGTGAACGACCTTCCTGTTGGCCGCTCTGTGGATGAGACTCTGAGACTAGTTCAGGCTTTCCAGTTCACTGACAAACATGGGGAAGGTAATTCAGTCTGTATGGTGACAAGACAACAGAATGGTGGATGGATGGGAAAGATGTGGTAGGAACAAAGTCTACCAAACAAGGAGGGTGGTTATGTCTCTGAGAAATTGAAGTGTCTGGATTATAGTGGGTTGTGAAGATGGGGTAATAGAAAAGCCTGGGGAGACTATAAAGGTTAGAAAGGCTTCTGCCCTGCTCAGCATTACTACTACAGAAGGAATGTAGAGGGATCTCATAGGTGGTGTATAAGGGTGAAATGAAAGGTTGAGAATCACATCAAAAGGTAAATATGCTGTTTATTGAGTTAATCCCTGTAACCCATATCTGCTGTTAATCCTCAACCAAGGGTATTTTCCCACTGATTTTTAGAAAGTGGAAGTGAGTGGGAGAGTAACATTGATGTGAGAGACACAGCTATTGGTTGCCTCCACACGCACCTGAACCATGCCGGGGGTGAAGCCTGCAACCAAGATATGTGCCCTTGACCACATTGGAACCCAAGATCCTTTAGTCTGGGGGCTGATGCTCTATCCACTGAGCTAAACCAGCTAGGGCTTATTGTTACTATTTTAAAAATGTTTTTTTTTTTTGATTTTAGAAAGGAAGAGCCTGCAACTTGGGCATGTGCCCTGACTGGGAACCAAATGAGCATACTCTTGTTGCATGGGACAATGCTCAACCAGTTGAGCCACACCAGTTAGGAGTGTTTTATTGGGGTTTTAAAACTAAAGATAATAGCTGAAGCTGGTTTGGCTCAGTGGTAGAGCGTCGGTCTGTGGACTGAAAGGTCCTAGGTTCGATTCCGGGCAAGGGCATGTATATTGGTTGCGGGCACATCCCTGGAAGGGGGTGTGCAAGAGGCAGCTGTTGATGTTTCTCTCTCATTGATGTTTCTAGTTTTCTATCACTCTCCCTTCCTCTCTGTAAAAAAACATTGACCAGCTGCCTCCTGAATATCCCCTACCGGGGATGTGCCTGCAGCCAATGTACATGCCCTTGACCAGAATTGACATTGGTTGATTCTTTTTTTTTTAATATATATTTTATTGATTTTACACAGAGAGGAATTGAGATGGACAGAGAGTTAGAAACGTCGATGAGAAACATCGACCAGCTGCCTCTTGCACACCCCCCACTGGGGATGTGCCCGCAACAAAGGTACATGCCCTTGACTGGAATCGAACCCGGGATCTTTCAGTCCACAGGCTGACGCTCTATCCACTGAGCCAAATCGGTCCCGGCTGGTTGACTCTTATATGTGCTGTGATGGGGATTGGAAAATGGAGGCTTGAACCCACCAGCATATGCTACTCATGCTATCACAGGTGGCAAGATATCATCCTTTTTTATGGCCAATAGTCCATTGTATATATGTACCTCAATTTTAAAAAAAATATATATTTGATTTTTTTACAGAGAGGAAGGGAGAGGGATAGAGAGCTAGAAACATCGATGAGTGAGAAACATTGACCAGTTGCGTCCTGCACACCTACTGGGGATGTGCCCCAGGTACATGCCCTTGACCAGCACCGAACCTGGGACCTTTCAGTCTGCAGACCTATGTTCTATCCACTGAGCCAAACCGGTTTCGGCTGTACCTCAATTTTTTTTAATCCACTCATGTATTGATGCTTTGCTCATTTTTGAATTTTTTATTTTTTGGTGTGGTTGAATTGCAGGATTTTTTTTTGCATTTTGGATATTAATTCCTTTTCAGATACAAGATTCATAAATATTTTCTCCCATTCTGTGGGTTGGCTTTACTTTATAATGTTCTAAAAGTTTTTAATTTTGATCAAGTCCAACTTATCTGTTTTTTTATTGTTGCTTGTGCTTTTTTGCATCATATCTAAGAATACTCTTCTAAATCCCAGGTCATGAAATTTATGCAGAAAGCATAACCTTCAACCTCTCTGCCATCCTGAACTAGCAATGCTCCTTAGGCTCACCTGAGGAAAGTGAGGCAAGGGATTAATCACTGATTTTCCACTTTGAAGAGTTTATGGTTTTAGCCCTTATAGATACTTCATTAATTCATTTTAAAAAATTTAAATTTTTTTTTTTTTTTTTTTTTACAGAGAGGAAGAGAGAGGTATAGAGAGTTAGAAACATCGATGAGAGAGAATCATCGATCAGCTGCCTCTTGCACACCCCCTACTGGGGATGTGCCCGCAACCAAGGTACATGCCCTTGACTGGAATCGAACATGGGACCTTTCAGTCCACAGGCTCTATCCACTGAGCCAAACCAGTTTTGGCTATTCATTTTTTAAAAATTGATTTCTACATGTGGGGGGAGAGAGAAATGTTGATCTGTTGTCCCATTTGTTTATGAATTGATTGGTTGATTCTTTTATTTAATTAATTAATTTATTTAAAAAAATATATTTTATTGATTTTTTACAGAGAGGGAGAGAGATAGAGAGCTATAAACATCGATGAGAGAAACATTGACCAGCTGCCTCTTGCATACCCCCTACCGGGGATGTGCCCACAATGATTGGTTGATTCTTAAAAAAAAAATTTTTTTAATATATATATATATTTAAAAATATTTTTATTTCAGGGAAGAGGAAGTAATGCTTTTATTGATTTCAAGAAAGAATGGATAGGAGAGAGAGAGAAACATCAATGAGAATCATGTATTGGCTGCCTCCTGCACCACCCCCTACTGGGGATAAAGCCCATAGCCCACACATGTACTCTCACTGGGAATAGAACTGTGACCTGGTTCGTAGGTTGACACTGAACCACTTAGCACACCGGCTGGGCCATTGATCCATTTTTGAGTTATTTTTTGTAAGTTAGGGGTCCAGTGTTATTCTTTTGCATTTGAAATCAACTGTCCCAGCACCTTTTTTTTTTTTTTTTTTTAAAGTACATCTTTATTGATTTCAGAGAGGAAGGGAAAGGGAGAGATAGAAACATCAATGATGAGAATCATTGATTGGCTGCTTCTTGCACGTCCCCTACTGGGGATCAAGCCCGTAACCCAGGCATGACCCTTGATGGAATTGAGCTTGGGACCCTCAATCTGCAGGCTGACCCTCTATCCACTGAGCTAGACCAGCTAAGGTAGCACCATTTTTTTTTTTTTAAGAGCAGCATTTAAGCTTATTTTTATTTTATTTATTTTTAATATATTTTATTGATTTTTCACAGAGAGGAAAGGAGAGGGACAGAGAGTTAGAAATGTCGATGAGAGAGAAACACCAGCTGCCTCCCGCACCCCCCTCCCCCCCCCACTGGGGATGTGCCCGCAACCAAGGTACATGCCCTTGACCGGAATCGAACCCGGGACCTTTCAGTCTGCAGGCCGACGCTCTATCCACTGAGCCAAACCGGTTTCGGCTAAGCTTATTTTTAAAAGATGTATTTGAAGCATACATGAAATTATAGAGAACATGAATACCCCTTTATCTACTATCTATTGTTAACAAACCTTGCCTTAGATGCTTTAGATATATATTTTTTTAATATATTTTATTAATTTTCCACAGAGAGGAAGGGAGAGGGATAGAGAGCTAGTAATGTGGAGGAGAGAGAAACATTGACCAGCTGCCTCTTGCACACCCCCTACTGGGGATGAGCCCGCAACCAATGTACATGCCCTTGACCGGAATCGAACCTGGGACCTTTCAGTCCCCAGACTGATGCTCTATCCACTGAGCCAAACTGGTTCCGGCAGATGCTTTAGATATTTTTGAACAAAGCTTACTGTTGAAACGATTGCTTTTTAAAAAATTCAGGTGCTGAATGAATAAATTATGTATAATAGTAACAGGGCTATTTTGAGGATTAAATTGCATGTTGTTAGCCTTGCACTAAAAGGCTTTGTATTTATGATCTTATACTGTAGGTTAGGCTTCCTGGTGCTTGAGTATTACAGGCTCTTTAGGGCTCGGATTTAGTTTTGAGGAATCCATTTGTCCATGAGAGCTCACCACTGAGCAAATTAATAATTGTTGGCCACTTTTCTTTTGCAGTGTGCCCAGCTGGCTGGAAACCTGGCAGTGACACCATCAAGCCTGATGTCCAGAAGAGCAAAGAATATTTCTCTAAGCAGAAGTGAGCACTGGGTCATTATAGGGTCATGTGGCAACGCACAGCCATGAGAACAGAACCTCTCTTCTATTGTCATGCTTAAAACAAGATCTTAGACTTAGCCCAGGTGTGGCCTTTCCTGTAGGGCCTGGGGAGGGTCAACCATACTTCTCTGGAGGAAATTATCTCATGTGAACAGTAGTGGGACATCACCTTTTGATCTTTTGTAGTTTCTATTAAACTTGAACTGAGACCTTGTTGTTTCTTCATTTTAGGGACATTAGTCGTTGACTTACTCTTTGCTTTCCTACGGTAAAATAAGAAGTGAGAGCTGCTTCAGAGACACAAAAATTATAGACTGGAAGTACAAGACACAGGGAATGGAATTGAACCAAGCTGTTAACTTCATTTTAAAAAAATGTTTTGATTTCAGAGAGGGGGATAGAAACATCAAAGATGAGAGAATCATTGATTGGCTACCTCGTGCGCGCCCCCTACTGGGGATTGAACTGGTAACTTGGGCTTGAGCCCATTGAGAATTGAACTGTGACCTGGTTCATGGGTTGATGCTCAACCACTGAGCCACACCCACACCACACCAGGTGGGCAAGGTGTTAACATTTTTTGTTATATCTGGGAAGAAGAGCAAAACTTGCTTTGGTGTTGTCCAAGGTACCGTACTTAACATTTATATTATAGGCCGCATTGTAAGTTAAGACACCAGTGATATTGATTACTTGGGCATTTATCCTTTACAGTATAGGGAGGGCTGCATGAGAACCTTAAGATGACTTCCTTTTTTTTGTAAGTGTTTTTGTTTTTAAATTCTTCCTCGAGGATATGATTTTATTAGTTTTTAGAGGGGGAGGAATGGAGCGAATCATAAATATGAGAAACATCCATCAGTTGTTTCCCACATATACCCTGAATGGGCATTGAACCTGTAATCTAGATGTGTGCCCTGACCGGGAATGAAACCTGCAACTTTTTGGTATACAGGATAGCTCTTCAACCAACTGAGCCACCTGGTATAGGGAGATTTACCTCAGATGAAAACCTGCTACTGGTTTTGTAAAAGGTTAGCATTAGAGGCTCTAATTTTATAACTGAAAGGGAGAAGATAAGCACAGTGTTGGTATTTGTAGGATAGAACTTTCCAAATCAAAAGCTTAAGGTTGAACACTTCTCACCTTCCTTGGGGTCTAGCCTTGATGTGAGGTAGTCCTCATTTTGGCCCTCATTCATATCTGTCCTGAAGGAGGTAGTTCTACGGATTGGGGTTCCTTCAGGGCTTTTAAAGCTACAGCGGAGTTGGAACTGAGGATATATTATATGGTGACCTTCCAGCCTATCAAACATCAAGATGTGTGCAGCATTACAGAATTCCTAGGGCCTTTAAGAACAGCTGATAATACTGGAGTAAACTAGGCTGTTTCAGAAATGCTTTACATGTATCAGTCCACACAATAACACCATGATACATTATTTATTTATAATTTAGAGGATTGGTTGTCTTTTATGCCCTACATCTAGCATCTTAGAGCATTGCAGATAAATGGTAACAAGCAATAAATACCCCTTTGTCCTTGTAACATGTAGCACTGCAGACTAATGGTAACAGGCAATAATTCCATATGCCAAGGCAGGTGGGAATTCAGAATCTGCCTTTGTCTAAGTATCCTATCGAAATACTAACTAATATTGATTTATTAGTCTTCAATTCCTTAGTGTCTTGACCAGACTTCTGAGCCTCAATATCTTCATTGAAGATCTCTACTATAATTCTTTTATCAAAAGTAATCATCTTTTAGCTAAAATAAAACCTTTGCCTTGCCAAAGCCAGACAGGGCTTACCAAGTACCATTGGTATAAATAGGGATCCTACAGGTGTGGGTATCAAGGGCCAGGGGATGCCGGTGGTGAGACCCTGGGGCTGAGCCACCCCCTGGCTCTGCTGAGATTCTGTGACTTGGGTATCAGTGTGGTAAAGAGAAGCTCGGGGGATGCAGAACTAGGCTCCCTTGAGGGTTGGGCCAAGCCCAACAAGGCCAAGCGCTGGGCAGGTGGTGTGGAAAAGTAGGCCTTCTGCTCTTCGGAGTAGCGCTCCTGGGGTGTCACAACATCCCTGTAAGTCCAGTCACGCCAATGAAAATTGAAGCTTTCAAGTAGGGCGATTCGCTCAGTTCTTGTTGGCACACAGTCGAGGGGTTTAGTGCGTGGCAGATCAGGCACTTGTATTCCTGGCAGCAGCAATACCCCTCGGATGGCAAACCAGCCCCCAAATCGGGGATGTATGCACACACCTGCTATACGCTGGGGAGAGGGTAGAGAAAAGCAGGTCATGGACATAACCTTGGCACCAAGTTCAATTATCACTGCAACTAGGCTTTTTCACTTATTCACACAATGGACACCAATTTCACTGTGAGCCTCATCTACTCTTGTAGATGAGCTTACTCTGGCTATGAGGAAAGATTCCCCCCCCCCTTAAATTGATTTTTTTACAGAGAGGAAGGGAGAGGGGGAGACAAAGACATTGATCAACTGCCTTCTGAACACCCTCCCCCCCCTATGCTGGGGATGTGCCGCAACCAAGGTACATACCCTTGACCAGACTCAAACCTGGGACCGACCCCTCAGTCCGCAGGCCGATGCTCTATCCACTGAGCCAAACTGGTCAGGGCAAGGAAGGGTTTCTAAAGCAGAGTCTCAATTTCAAAGTCTAACCATGGCTCTAATCATTGCTCTGCCCTCTCCATTATGTAACAGTTTTATGAATAGACATTTCCCTAACTTGATCAGGGACTCTAGAAGGCACACGGGGCTGGACTGCTGGGTAGGGAATACCTTTATCCTGGATTGTATCTACAAACTCCTTTACCCCTGGGAGGTAGGAGAATGTGAGAACTGAATGTGATGGGCCTTCACTATTTTCTTAGTCTCTAGTCATTCATACTTGCCCTCTGACCTGGGTTCCCCAGGGGTCAGCCTCTACATCCTGTCGTTGGTAGTAGTAAGCAGCCCCTGCCACATGGGCTGCTGTCTGGGCCAGAATCTTGGGGCGCCGGTTGGGGTGTACCTCGTAGTCAGCGATAACTTCAATCTGCAGCTCTGGGAGGCTCTGGGATGGAGGACAAGATGGAGGCATCTTTTAGCATGACAGGAATCATAACCTTGTCTTAGCCCTAATTTGTGTCAACAAGGTCCTCTCCTCAGAAGTTGTGTTTGAAAGGAAGACAAGGGGTGGGGTCCAGTGTGAAGAAAATGATACACGTTTAAAGGTCTTGCTCAGAAACCTCCATTAGGAGAGGTAAGCTGGCTCTGCCCTCCAGAGTTCCAGAGTGGAGGAAGACATGGGAGATCTAGTGTTGTATATAATAATTCTATAATATTAAAAGCATGATATGCAAATTGACCAAACAACTGAACAGCAGAACCATCTGGATGACCACACTATGACATGCACTGGTGCTGGGCCAGCCAAGGCGGGTGCTATGCTATTGGTGGTGGGGGTGGGGAACCACCATCACCCCATGATCACTCCACGGAGGCCCAAGCCACCTTCAGCGGGGCCATCAATCGGGGGCTCTGCAGAACCAGGGAACCAGAGGTGTGTGGCGGTGGACACGGGCAGCACCAGGCCAAGGTGGGTGTGGGCAGGTGGCAGGGCAGAGAAGCTGGCAGCCAGGCAGCAACTGGGGGAAGGAAGGCCTACCCATGCAGGAATTTTGTGCATTGGGCCTCTAGTATGTAAATATGTACATGTGAGTGTGTGGCGGGGAAACATTGTTTTGTCCTTAAGTCCCCAAAGACAGCATAAAACTTCCAGGTCTAGAGCAAAGACAGGTGAGAGACGCTTGGGAAACGTTGGATTATTCCTATTTCACTTGGAGGTCAAGGGAAATCTGGTCTGAAGTTCATTTAGTTGTCCATCAGCATAGGGCGAGTGAGACTGATTTCAGACCTGGGGGGCTGCTAGAGGAAGGAGACTCAACTTGCATTGGGAATGCAGAATGGGGAGATCACAAAGTCGAGGCTGGATTTCATCCTATGAAAGTGGCCCCTAACCTTAGAAAGGTCTAATTCTGCGTTGAGCTTGGAGTAGCTAAAAGCAGTTGCAGTTTAAAAGCTGGGGGAGGATATGAAAGCTGCTCACCTTTCTAACGCGGCCTAGGTGGTAGGCCACACATTGGTCCACAGGGTCAGTCAGTGGTTGGAGGTGGCCGCTCTGCAGGAAGGGCTTGAGGGCCTGGTCAAACATGGCAGGTGTGCTGAGTACCAGGAAGGCCAGGGTAGGTCCTGGCAGGGGCAGGTGGAAGGCTGAAGGCAGGACTGCATTGTACCATGCCACCTGGAACAGAAAATACATATCTTAACCTGGCATTCAAGGTCTCATGTATTTCTCAAACTAGACCCAACCTACCCCCTTCCTCTATAATCTCTCCTAGACTGCTGTGGGCCACTCAGCTGAAGGGGTGAGAGAGGGCTGTCTCTTAAGCAACAAGCAAAGGGTTCAAGCTGAGCTGATTTAGCTTTCTGTCCACGTGTATGGCTCAATGGAGGTGGCAACTGATAAGGAGAAAATGAACTTACATAAGCAAGGGAAAGTGGTGGTGCAAGACTTGTGTGTCAGTAGGGCGCAGTTGCTATATCCAGCCCAGTGGCTGGTGACTGGCAACACTATTAATTATTCTTCTGTTGGAAGGAACAAACCAGCCAGTTGTTTGCTTGTTCAACAGCACGGAATGTCCTTTCCTTTTCAAATGACCTAAATCCTAGTCATGCAAACCTTCCAAGACTTGCCCTCTTCTAATTCCTTCAGGAAGCTCCCCAAGTGATTCTGGCTCTAGGGGTGCCTTTCTTCCCGTTGATTATGTTAAGTGACAGCCACAAGGTTACTGGATTATCCACAGCTCCTACCTACCCAAGCCCCCCATGACATTCTGTCCCAGGAGATTAGAGGTACATGGGACCAGAGGAGCTCCAGAAGGACCAGGAGGCTTACGGGCCTCACGCCGGTAGCTCCGAGGCCAATCATATACCTCACCCTAGCACCGCCGGAGAGAGAAACAAACCTGGAAGGGGTAAACCTCGAAGCCAAAAGGGCACAACGTGTCCTCAATCTTCTGCTTCAGCTCAGCGACTTGCGGCTCCATGCTGCATGCTACGCGCTGAGCTTGCTGGGGAATGGAGTCTCAAGGATAACCGGGGCCGTTAATTTTCAGCACAGATTGGACTCCATTTCCCAAGAGTCTGTGCGACCCAAAGCGGGACACAGTTGACTGCGCGATGCATCTTGGGATACGTAGTTTATTTGTTCCTTGGAAACAACCACTACGGCATCAGAAAGACTCGGTTTCCCGATAAGCTTCACGGTGGGCGTGTATATGCACGTATTACCTCCTGGGAAACGTAGTTCGGTCGCCTCCATCGTGGGTTGTTTCCGCGAGACGAGAACTCCAGTTTCCCAAATGGCGCTGCGGCAGCCAGTCCAAAGTCAGACTTTCCTGGCCTACTGAGGTTTTGAACCCTGCGGCGGCAGTAGTAGCTGGCCTAGGTTCGCATGATGGCGCTAGTATCCTGAGTCTGGGAAGGTCTGAAGCACGATTCGGCGCCTTAAACTCCCTCCTAATATGTACAAATCAGGATATCCCGCTTTCCCGCTAGTTCCCCAAGTACGCCTCTCCCCTGACTAGTCCCGGAGGCGTAGTTTTGGTCTGATATTGCATCCCTACCCCTAGTATTCCCTCTTTCAATTTGACGTTGTGGCCTTTCCTGGCCTGTGTGTCGGTTGTTCCCTGCTTGGAGAGCAAGGGCACAAGACGCCGGGGAGACAGACCCCTTACTGTAGACTGTGAGTATGAACCTGAGCTGGTCTGAGCAGCTGGATTCGCTACTCAATGCTACGGACGGAAATATGGCCAGGATTAAGGTGAGGGGAAGTGAGGCCCCGGTTGGTTGGTTGCTTGTTCAACAGCAGGAATGCCCTTGGGAGTGTGGGTTAGGACAAATCTCATGAACATGCACGTGTTTCTTTTGTAGCAGCGGTTGTATCCCCGCGGCGTCTCTGCTGCAGGTAAGTATTGTCTCTTCTACCCCCTTTCAGGACCTCTTCTCCCTTTCAGGAAGATCTCTTTCAGGATCTTCTTTTTCCAGTGCCTGTACCATCCATTATTCCTTCTGCTGTCCAACTATTTATTTTCTTGAACAAACATCTGTCTCCTCTTATCCCCCTCCACACCCACCCCTTGCTAAGTGGTGCATTTGTCCCTTTTTTTTATTTCCTCAGCAGGAGATCTGACTGGGACCTGGATTCCCCCAAATCACTTGCTTTCCCAACCAGGAGGAGCCCAAGCTCAACAGCCTTGGGCTCTGGAGACCCCTATTGTTCCAGAGAGGCTAAATTGGGCTGAGGTCCATAAGGCAACTTCTCTCTGGGATGAAGTTACTGTTCTTAGATCCCAGCTTCGATCCCAGGGTCAGGTGAGGCTTGGAATCCTAGGTGTGTACTAGTAAATGTGGTATTCATGTGAGACAAGGATACCGGAAGTTGGGGTATCACAGTAGCTCATGTGATTTTCTGCCTGGGTAGGTGACTGAGGCACTAAGACAAGCTGTGCAGGGCCTACTGAAAGAGCAAGAGCAGCAGAAGTACCAGATCTGTGCCCTGGAAGGTATCTCGCCAGTTCTTTTCTTCATACACAAAGCCTCATTCATATGCAAACAATTTTGTGGCACGCTTGTTTGTGTGTGCATTTGTATCTTGATTGACAGTAAAGTCTCAAGGCTCATGTGTGAAGTTCTTAGAGGGGTTAACCCCCCCCCCCCTTGTATTACTTGTTCTATTATAGCATCACTAAAGTTGCTGCAGGGGGGCCCAGAGCGGAAGGCTATTCTCCTGGAGCAACGCCTGGACCGGCTGAGAAGGGAAATGAGGGGCCTTCGGAGCCAGGTGCAAGAGCAGGCCCAAGCCCAAATACAAGCAGGTCCACAAAAGTGCAGTGTTACCAGTGGCTTTCACCAAAAGCTGCAGAGTGAGTAAGTGATGGAAAGGCCTCTCCTTCAGGCCTTTGAACCCCAGGTCCTCTGGTAGCCTCCTCTGGGCTTCTTGATTGGCTTTTTAGAATGAGACTGCTGTCATCCCTGTAGGAGGCAACTGCTGTGGGAGGAGTCAGAGGTTCTGAGGGAAGAACTGAAGTTGCTTCGGGACCAGCTGAGTGAGTAAAAGATGGGAGGGAGGCTCACTTGTCCTGTTTTCTGGAAAGCCTTCTTATTCTCCCAGTAAGTGGCCATAGCTCTAAATGCTTGAGCTACTCCGAAATCTGGTCAAGTATTTGTCTTGCCTCCAAAGGTGTGATCCTACTCTCCCCAGTCAGCTTGGAAACTTCCTATCAGCTGGACCAGAATGCTTCTATCTCAGTTTTCAACACCAGACTGGGAACAAGGCAGGGAGGAAGAAGGAAAGAAGTTGGGGAATAGCCTTCTTCTTAAAAACAAAATCTTTATTGATTTCAGAGAGGGAGGAAGAGGGAGGGAGGGAGGAAGAGAGAGAGAGAAAGAGAGAGAGAGAGAGAGAGAGAGAGAGAGAGAGAGAGAGAGAGAGAGAATATCACCGATGAGAAAGAATTATTGATTGGCTGCCTTCCGTATGCCCCACACTGGGGATAGAGCCCGCAAGCTGGACATGAGAGAACAGCCTTCTTACATGTTCTCTCACCTGCAGCCCAGCATCAGGAGCTGATGCTGAAACAGATGGCTGAGGGGCGGCAAGTTCAGGCCCGCAGCTGGAAGGTAGGACCAGGATTGGACCTATCCTTTCATAACTCCCTGTTGTGGCCCCTCCCTTTCTCTGTCTGTCCTGTTCTGCAGGCAGGCCAGGATACTCTTTCCCTTCCCTATCTTTTCTTCTTCCCTGTGATGACTTCACTTCCCTTCACAGCTCTTCTTTCTAAGCCCTCTCCTCCAATTATGGGGAGGGGGGTTTCTCCTGGAGAGGGAGAGGTTTGGTTCTACCTGGGACCATAATCTGGCAGATGTTGGAGCAGCTGCAGAGTGGCCAGGAGGGCAAGGAGGCTGCCAGGACAGAGGCCGAGGATGCCCGGCGGGAGCATGACCTCCTCAGGTCAGCAGGTGTGGGTACCTCTGTCAGTAGAAGGGATTTGTCTTTCGGAGACCAGGAATTGGGGATTAAATCCTATATTTGACACTAGAGGCCAAGTGCATGAAAATTCGTGCACTTAGGGGTGGTCACTCAGCTCGGCCTGCACCCTCTTGCAGTCTGGGAGCCCATGGGATGTCTGACAGTTTATGCCCGCTCCCTGTGGGGAGTGGGCCTAAGCCGCAGTCTGACCTCCCTCTCTGGGAGACAACCGATAGGCCCATTGGAAATGGCACAGGCCAGTAAGGGGCTGGTCTACCCCCCATTACTGCCACTGGTGGCATCCCTCTGCAGGAGGTGACCAGTGGGCTGATCTAGGGCTGGCAAATGGCCAACCTCCCTCCCCCCATCTCCCCACTGCTGTCAGTCACCCTGATTGCCATCCCCTAACTCTGCCCACTGGCACCTGCCTTGGCTGGCCTGGCGCTGCCTGCTTGCTGGCCCCGTGCCCCACTGACTGATGGTTCTGCCGTTTCGTCGATTTGCATATTAGGCTTTTATTATAAAGGATGGGCCGATAGGGGCGGCACGAGTATCTAGGTTACAGCCCAAAAGGGCAGTAGTGGGTATTCTTTATTTGATATGGAGTCAGTGAGGTGTCTGTATTTGGAAGATAAAGTGTGAGTTCTGGCCTCAGAAAGGAGGACAGTTCCATGCTGGAAGGGCCCCTTTGACCCACCATCACCATTTCTTTCCCTTTCCAGGACCTCTGTTCACATCCTGGAGTCGAAGCTACCCCTGGCTGCCACCTTTGCCATGTCTCTTTCTTCATCTAGCTCTGAAGTCAGTCATCAGGACAGTAACAGTAGCTGGGAGCTTCTTAAGAAGCGAGGTGAGGATAAGGGCAGGGATCCCAGTTGTGGGGAAGGCTGAATCTAAAGGATGCTTGAATGCCACCTGCCTAATTGTTTGGCCACTAGGTAATATGCAGTCTCTGCCTTGTTCTTTGTAAATCCATTGACCTCTGTTACTACTTCTCCCAAGTCAGACCTATATGTACTTCCCCAACAGACAAGCCTATTTCTGTGTATCACAGTGCTTGCTGATGGTTTGTTCTGTCTTTCCTTTCTCTCTTCTTAGATCCCCAGAAGAGCACCCTTTCTAACCTGGAACCCAGCAACTTTCAGCTCCAGGTCCAGAGCCTTGAGCAGGAGGACTTATCCTTTACTGGCTCCAAGATACTCCTGAGTGACCTGTAGGGATTTGTAAGAGTAGCAGGATAAAGTCTTTGCTCACCTTCCCCTCAAGGCCCGGTTTCTGGGCTCCCTGCCCCTACCCTCTTGATCTAGCTGGTATCTGCCTTCCGTCCTGAGTCTTGTCACTGCCTGCCCACCTTCCCAACAACTGCAGTAAAATGGCTTAACCCTCTCTGATGTGTTTTCTGTGAATCAGCACCCACATGGGACAAGCTGAGCATGACTACTACCTACCATCTCTCGGAAATCCAAGTTCCTAGACATTTATATCTGCACCTTCTGAATTCAAACCCTGTGCTCAGTAGAACTTGGAAGGAGGTGGGAGCTCTCATTTTGGTGGGAGAGGTAGGACAGTGCTCTGGGGCAGTACTGCTGTGGGGAGGCAGAGGAGGATGAGACATTCTAGTGGGCCCAGGGCCGTAATAGGCGGCTTTCTTTCCTTGTCCCCACTTCTGCTCTTGAGGCTTACTCCAGCCCTTCCACACCTCTTAATCCTTAAGCATGCCAGGCTACACTTCTGTAGCAGTCTATTACCTGGTCTCCTTTCAATCTCTCTGTCTCTAATCCAGTGGGTTTACAATTTTTTGACTGTGACCTCCAGTAAGAAGAAATAGGTTACATTATAGCTTAGTAAATATAAATGTATATATTTATTAACTGAAACAAATCTAATGATTCAGTACTTACTAGGAGTGATGCCCTCTGATATTTCCCATTGAACATTTTTTAAAAAATATATTTTATTGATTTTGTACAGAGAGGAAGGGAGATAGAGTTAGAAATATCAATGAGAGAGAGTCATCGATCAGCTGCCTCTTGCACACCCCCTACTGGAGATATGCCCGCAACCAAGGTACATGCCCTTGACCGGAATCGAACCCGGGCCCTTTCAGTCCCCAAGCCGACGCTCTATCCATTGAGCCAAACCGGTTTTGGCCCATTGAACATTTTTTTGTGGCTTTTGGTTCTGAACCTTCCACCATTGGTTGCTCTCTGGAAAATATATTTTCCTAGGTAGATGACGGGTACATTACTTTCTCCTTACTTGGGCTTTGTATTTTAGACAATGCAGTTCAGGATTTCCTTAGTAGCAATAGCATCTCACTGAGGTCTCATGAGATCTCTTCACTGCTAAATATAGCGAAACGATAATGCCATCCATCCACCAAATGGATGTTTATTACATACCAGTTCTAGTATGTATTTACCCTGAGCTAAGATATGTAGTGGGCTCATGTAAAAGTCCCATTGCTTAGCTCAGTCCAGCTGGGAAGAGGAAGCAGTTATCTGAAATAAAAGCATCATAAAAGACTGATGGCAGGAACTACTTCCTTATTATGGGGTGAAATAAGTAGCAGACAGGTCATGAAGAGTGGCCTTTGATACCTAAGTAAGGCAATCCTTGGTTTTTACCCCATAGCATTAGGGAGATTGCTGAGAGTGGAATGGTAGAGATGAGGTCAAACAGAACCTATTTAAAAAAACAAACCAGCTGAAACCGGTTTGGCTCAGCGGTAGAGCGTCGGTCTGCGGACTGAAAGGTCCTGGGTTCGATTCTGGTCAAGGGCATGTACATTGGTTGCTGGCACATCCCCGGTAGGGGGTGTGCAGGAGGCAGCTGGTCGATGTTTCTCTCTCATCGATGTTTCTAGCTCTCTATCTCTCTCCCTTCCTCTCTGTAAAAAATCAATAAAATATATTTTAAAAAATGTTTAAAAAAACAAACCAAAAAACTTTCCTACTGAACCAGGCATAAGGAACTCCTGATTGTTAAATCTTTTACTAGTCAAGTGATACATCTGACATGGTGGCATTATTCATTTAGTTCTACTTACTACCAAGTGCTCTACTTACTCATCAGCTACTTTACATTGGGCTCTGTGGAAGATATGTTTGCAAGGGTGCCAGAGCTCTTCACAGCAGAAACATATAGCTATATGGATCAGTGGTATTTGAACCGTCACCAGGTGGCAGCATATGACCTGTTTCCAAAAGAATACGTAACACAGAAGAGGTTTCCGGCCCAGGGGACTAGGCTACAGTGTTCTTTTCTCCAGAGATCCTGTGAGCTAACAATTAATCTTCCTAAAAGTGTCCTGTTAAGCCTTCTCTCCTGCTCGGGAATCTTCCCCCCTCACTCCCCGCCCGAGGATTGAGCCCACAACATAGGCATGTGGTTTGGCTGGGAACAAACTGTGATCTCCTGGATCATAGGTCCATACTCAACCACTGAGCCATGCCAGCGGGCTCAATAAAAAAAAAATGTTTTAAATGCCCAAGGTCCAGCCATGTGGAAAGCATGAAGAAATGTGTGCCTGATGAATAGCTGAATAGAATTATAGTCTCTACGCAGCTCTTCCAAAATCTTTGGTTTTCAAGCCAACTCAAGTGTTACCTCCTCTAAGTAGCCTCAACCAGAATTAATCTCTTAACCTAGTGAATTGCTCCTTCAGCTTTTTGTTTAACCCTATCCACTGCTGTTACTATCTCAAGTCGTTAACACAGTTAATTGTTTATGTAACAGTTTCCTCCCCTGCCGCAAACCGCCCCCCCCCTTTTCCCCCGCCCCCCACGCATGCTGAGATGCGGGAGACTGTGTTCACTTTTCCTTAAACAGATAGTCTTACTCAACTATACGTTCACCTACCCAAAAGCTGCGCCAGTCGAATACATTTTCTTAGGGTTTGTTAATTATCACTCGTTTATGTGTTTGGAATCTCGATTGGTCCACTTTGTGTTTACCGTCCCGCCTGGTGCGAGGCTCTGGGCCTGGGGTTCCCCCCAGGTGCCTTCCCTCCGCCCCGCTCCTCCTCTCCCGCACACTGCCTCTTCTGTTTTCACCTCCGCTCCCTTCTTATTGGTTCCCTCCTCGCCTAAGGCTGTTGATTGGCTCTTCTCGACGCCCATTGTGCCCACCCTCATACCACGTGGCATTCCTGACGCTCATTGGTCAGTTTCACCACCTCGTTGATTAAGGGTTGGCTGATGATTGGCTGCTCTGAGGGAGGGCTTGAGGAAAAGGGCGTGGCTCGATGAAGCCACGCCCCCACCTCCTCGGACTGGCCGGGCAGGCGGTTCAGTCGCCGGCGGCTGGGGAGCCCTGCGCGTCTTCCATCTGTGCTCTCCGGCTCCCCAGACGGATCATCCCGGTCCCGCCACACAGGCGGGGGAAGCGGCCCTGACTGTGGGGCCATGGCAGTAGACTCCTCGTCCTCCGCCGCCGCCGCCGCCGCCAGCCCCGCGGGATCGCCGGCTTCTGCGCGAGGGACCCCCACCGCCTCTGCAGGCTGAGAGCCGCTGCCGCCTCCGAGCTGCGAGGGCTACTATGCTCCCTCTTGGCCGCCGCCTCCCCCTCCCGCTCGCTCAGGCACCCCTCTGGCTGCTCAGTCCCGCCTCAGGTAACGCCAGCCGAGCACGTGAGGCTCGAATCCGGGGCACCCGGGCCCGCGCCCGCGCCTGCTGCGTCGCCTCGGCTCCGGAGCTTAGGCGCTCGGCTTGCCTGACGCCGGCAGGACCTCTTCGTTTCCCAGAGCTGTGCCTCTCAGCTCTCGGGGACACCCCTCGTCTCCTTCCCCTTCCCTTTTCACTTCCCTGAAGGTCCCGGGACAACCCCCGCCCCGGCCCCCTCACTCTCACCCTCTCGGCTCAGAGGCCTGGAACCCATTATAGAAGTTCCTTCTTATCACGAACTGGTCCTTGACTCCTCTCAGGGACTTTCCTCAACTTCAGAGACTCAAGAAATTTAATTTCTTCAGAGAACTGTTTCTGAGACCTCCAGCTCCACATTGAGAGCCTCTTCCTCCTCCCTCAGGGATCGGGTCTCCCTCACTTTGCTTCCCTCAAACACAGACTTCCCTCGCAAACAGCCGCTTCTACCCCCGAAAGATTCTTCCCCTCAGACACCACTGCCTCTCCTCCCGTCACCCCTCTTCTCCCTGCCTCCTCTGCCTTTACCCTTCCCTGAGACTCTGGACTAAGCCAGTATTGTTTTACAACCTTTTAATTTATGCCTCTAAGAAAACCTTGCTGAAGAATTCGGACTTTATTATGTGGGCATGGGAGCCATTGCAGGCTTTGTAAGTAGGAGTTTGGTATGATTGATTATCTGATGAAAATGTGGAGGAAGAACTGAAAGTGAAGACAGTGTGGATGCAGAAAAGCTTAGGTAGGCAGGAAAACTAGCGTGCTAACTGGAGTAATGGCAGGAAAACGAAGAGAATGGCCTGCAATTCTATGAAGTTTCAAAACAGTTGACAGAATTCGCAGGAGGTTTCTGATCTGACTGATGGGATGGGTTGCTAGTGTTAATTGAAGTGGGGGACTTAAACAATCTCGAGGGAAGGTAATGAATTTGGTTTTGGACAAGTTCAGTTGGTGTTTTTCAGATATTACTGCGGGTAGCTGAAAATTTTGGTCCGAAAATTGGGAAAAAGGTTAGAATGGAATACATACATTTGAAAGATCAGCAGAGACTATACGGGTGATATTTGAAGCCTTAGTATGGACGGTAATACTGAAAGAAGAGAAGGGCTGCGGACCACAAGGAACGTTGCTGTTGGAAGGGTAATAGACACTGAGAAAGAGGGTTTAAGGGAATGGGACAGGAACAGAAGCCAAAGGAAGGAAGAGTTTCAAG